AGGTTATCGCCAACTTTCGCTAAGAAGAAGGCACCCAAAGAGAAAGAAGGCAAACGGCTTAAGAACCACAAACTAAAAAGAAGGATAAACGACCTAACAATCCAATCTCGTCTAACTAATAAAACAGAGATTTATAACTAATAAAACAGAGAGAAAAGTATTAACCAGATATTGAAACAACTAAAAGATCATTAAAACGTAGAAGAACCCGTGGATAAATCGAATTTACCACAACTAAAAAGAAAAAGAAGGTATTTTATTTACTCAAGAAAGGAATGTTGTAAGTAGTAAATAAAATGGTCTAAATGATATAATATTGTGTGTCCATCAAACAGCAAGAAAGTATGTAATAAATATGAAAGTTGCTTTTTATTAATTCAAAAAGTTTTGAATAAAATTATATTTCTTAATATTTAAATTATTTCTAGTAATAGTTATTGATAAACGGTTAATATTTAAATATTACCAATTCTAAATCATTTTAACAATAATTTTGTATAAATATACAAAAACAAATACTGGGGCGATAATTTGCTTATCTGGTACTAGGTAATTATAAATTGATTTGGTATTAGGACTTTAACCAAGTAAACAATATAGAACAAAATACCTAGTAATACAGAAAAATAATGAATATTACAAATACAGGGTAAGCCAGTGAACATTAATGCAGTACAATTGTATGCTCCGACTGCAGATAAATTAGAACATGAAATACAACATTTTTCTGAACAGCTCAAGCAACTTCTGTAATACACAAGAAAGAAAGAAATCACTATAGTAATGGGTAATTTAAATACAAAGATAGGAAAAGGTCGAGTACATATGGTTTTGATTACCACTCGTAGTAATAGTAGTAGTTAGTAGTGCAATTTCGAACGAAATTGCATTAGAAATCAGATCGACTTTATTCTAACCAATCTAAGATTTAGAAATTCCATTGTAAGCGTTAAAACTTTTTCTGGAGTAGATGTCCCCTCACATCATAACCTCCTTGTTTCAAAAATAGAACTGAGGGTAAAAAAGATAATAAAATTCAAAAGTTCTAAGGCGAATACTCAGTTACTCAAGATAAATGAAATCCGTTTTGAGGCTTCAACTTGTATCAATTAAGAAATAAAATGAAATTGACGTAAGAAATAAAAAACACTGAGAATGTGAACATTATGTGGAGCAAAATCAAAGATTCTGTTATAAAAACACAGAAAGAAACTCCACAGAAAAAAAAACAGAAAGCTGGAAACTTTTGATGACTCAAGAAAAACTGAAAATCTTGGAACAAAAAAGAGAATATAGAAACAAAAACCCAAATAAGTACAGAGAAAAACATAAATTAATAAGGAACAAAATAAAGAGGCTAAGGAAAAGTGGATAATGCAAACATGCATCAAAGTGGAAGAAATGCAGAAAAAGCATGATCATAATAATTTACATAAAAAACTGAAAGAATTATATGGAAAATCACGAACAAATATACCTAACCGTTTAATTGACAAAAACAATAAACCTATTAATAATCCAATTGAAATAAAAAGTATCGACTAAAATATATTGAAAATATTTTCATGGATACAAGAACGAAACAAACACAAAATTGATAACGACGAAGCTACAATAATACTAAAATCATGCTATAAAACAACATGCTATAAACAACTTAAAATCTGGCAGAGCCCCTGGGTCAGATGAAGTTCATATCGAGCTGATTAAGCTTATAGACGAAGACAATTTAAGTGTAATAACTATACTCTATTATCTATGGTGGTTAAAGGTTGGTAGGACCTCGGAGGCAGTACGAGTTGCCGAAGCTCACACTGCAATAAAACTCTGAGAAACGTCCACTGTTTTCTGACGAAAAAGTCGGAAGTTCTAGGAATAGAACTTAGCTCTGCCAACAAATCCTACTCTCACGTCCTCGAAGGCAATACGCTGCGTAACCACTGGGTGCATGGCGCACAATGGGTGTGCGTTATGTAGCTGACGAGAGAGGGTGAAAGGCGAGTTTCTGGCGCCCTAAAACTGGAACATATCGGCTATGGGAATAAACTCTGGCAGAAAATTGGTCTTCAACCAGGTTAGCTCCCTACTGTAGGACTATAAACCAGCCAGCTCAAAGAAACAGGTTAATGCCTCGGAACAGGACTGAATCTATGACGATGACCAATGCGAGAAAAAAGACAACGAATTCATGGAAACCGAAAGACATACTCCGAATCGGTACTTGGAACGTAAAATCCTTGAACAGCAGAGAACAAGAAATTACCAAAGAACTAACGGAGAAAAATATAGATATGTGCGCACTCCACGGGACCAAGAAAAAAGAAAAGGGTCAAATTATGCTAGATAATTACTTGTTGATTTACAGCGGCATGGCAAAAGAAACCAGAGCTAAAGAAGGAGTAGCCCTACTTTTACACAAGAAATTTATTGACCAAATAGAGGATTGTAAATACATTTCACAAAGAACAGTTTACGTAAAACTCAAACTAAATGATAAGTCTTTAAACATAATAGCATTTATGCTCCAGAGAACAACAGAGACGCAGACACAAGAGAAAGCTTCTTCGAAGACCTCCAAAACACGATAAATGAGGTCCTAAAAATGAATTTATGATCGTTACGGGCGACTTTAATGCCCTGTTGGCAACGACATTGTACCAGGGATAAAACAGCGTCATAACGAAGACATCAGAAATGAAAATGGAGATCTCCTTACGGACCTATGTAGCGCGAATGAACTACGCATCAACAACATTTTTTTCCCTCATAAGGAACAATACTAAATACAAATAAAGGTCAATGATAGACTACATCCTGACGAACAGGGTAATACATCTCTCTCAAGTATTGGACATAAAAGCACTAACATCTGCAGAAACAGGAAGCGACCATAAGCTTATACTTGGAAAAATCTGAAAAAAGACCTGAAGAAAGCGTTCGATAAAGTAAAGCTTAAAGATGTAATTCACCTTCTTTACGATAGAGAAATTCCACTAAATATTATAAAAACAATAGAGAACATTTACCAGAGCAACAATATGGAAGTCAGAATAGATGACCAGCTTACATATCCAATAGATATGGGCAATGGAATAAGACAAGGAGACTTGCTTAGTCCAACGCTATTCAATTAAAATGGGGAACAAAGAAATCAGAATACTCTGCTATGCAGATAATGTGGTCCTAATTGCATCCAATGAACACGATCTACAAAGACTAACCCATAGATTCAACACAAGGGCAAAGGACTTTAATATAGTGATCTCTACACAGAAAACTAAAACAATTGTAATCAGTAAAGAACCAATTAGATGTAAACTGGAAATCGACGGTATCAGCATTGAGCAAGAAATGGGGACAAATTACCTAGGAATTACACTGTCTAGCTACGGAGATGTGGAGAAGGAAGTGAAAAATCAAATATAAAAGGCTAATAAAATAGCAGGTTGTCTTAATAACACGATATAGCGCAATCCCCACATTAATACCGACGTGAAATCAAGAATCTAAAAAGCAACAATAAGACCAATAATGACATACACTTCAGAGACAAGACCGGATACCTCCAAAACTGAGCAACTACTAGAAACAGCGGAGATGCGTTTACTGAGGAGAATTACAGGAAACACACTGAGGGACCGAATGAGGAGTGAAGAGATCAGAAGAAAATGCAATATACCAGAAATAAATAAGTGGACACTGAACAGAAAAAAGGAATGGAACGAACACATAAACAGAATGGAAGAGACCCGATTAGTCAGAATAGTGAGGGACAAATCACCAAAAGGTAGAAGAAGTATCGGGCGACCACGCAAAAGATGGAGTGATAACCTCCAATAGAGGCATTAATCGACATTGAACAAGCATTTTGCTTATAAAAAAGAAGAAGAAGAAGAGAAGAACTGTACTCTATCGAGCTTTGTAATCTATGTAATTTTTTAAAATGTTTTATTGCTGTATTTTATTAAATATATTATAATTTAATCATTCTACATAAAAAAATTGCTTTTTTATTAACATAAAAAAACTTTAAAATAAATTTCTAAACAAAAAATTGTGAAGAAGTCGATTTTTGTAAAAAAATATAGGTAGTCATAATAATATGGTCAGGGACTGTAGATTAATTAGCTTAATATCACACTTATTAAAAACATTTTTAAAAATTAGACATGCAAAAATATTCAGAAAGTGCAAAGCAAATATGAGTAATAGACAGTTTGGCTTTCGTAACGGCTTCGGAACAGTGGAACCTCTGTATAGTTTCACAATTATTGTCCAAAAATATCGAGAAAAACAAAAGGATCTTTTTGTTGCGTTTATAGACTATAAGAAAGCTTTCGACAAAGTCAAATATAACATTTTCATGGAATGTCTAGAGAGAAAAGGACTCGACAAAAATGATATTATCATATTGAGAAATCTCTATTGGAATCAATAGGCTGTGGTAACCTGGACTGTTAATGTCGACTTAATGAGAAAACTGAAAGCTTTTGAGATGTGGTTTTTTAGCAGAATTTTGATGATACCATGGACCGATCGTCTTACGAACGAAATGGTGTTGCACAGAACGGGAAGCTACAGAGAAATTTTGACCACTAGTAGAGGGCGGAAGACAGCACATTTGGAGCACATTACTTAAAAATAATAAGTACAAGTTGTTGCAATTGATTATGAAGGGTAAATTCGAGGGAAAATGGGGTCATGGTAGTGAACAAATTGCCTGGCTGAAAAACATTCGTGACTGGACCGGGTTAAACACACATACGCTCTTAAGAAAAGCAGAAGACCGAGACGAATTTGCAATGGTTACAGCCAAACTCTATTAGTGGAAATGGCACTAGAAGAAAAAGAAGAAAAATTTTAAAACTAGAAATGCTATTTTTTTACTTGTTTCGAAATTCGAAGTGAAATTAATTGACTTTTTGTCAGTCCTCGTAGTTTTGGACTGATAAATATTACCTGTATTCCAATATTATAATTTATGAATAGCTATTACTTACTATTGCCATATCTAGCTGGGATTAGTCTGTCGTATACAGAATACTGTGTTCCCCAATTAGGATGATCTAAATTATTACAGACACCGTCAATGCTCCTGTAGGTAAAATCACGATATTCACAGTGCACATAATCCAATCCACATTCCCGATCCCCTTGCACGCAATTTAAGATAATGAGCAGAATTCCATAGAGACAATACATATTAGAAGAGCATTTTTCGCGCTCACGAAAGAACTGAGTCAGGAATTATTTTCTGTAGTAGATTTTATTCGGCAGTTAAATCAAAAAGAGTGATTTAGTAGTAGTTTTTATCACGTTTTGTGCTACTTGAGAAATAATATTTTGTTAAAAATGTAATATAGAATAATTTGTTATACTCAAATACGTGTTTTTTACTAATATTCTCAGTAGATATATTTATGATTTTAAATAAGTGGTATCTAAATCACGGATATAAAGTAAATTTGTAGCTAAATGGGCGTTTTAGATATTTTTACAGCTTGTTTTATATAGTTTGTTATTTATCTAACAAGTCTAACTTTAGTTTATTACTCTAAACAATATTAAAATACTGATTAACGATGATACCAAAAGTTCCGAATACAGTTTAGTGACAAGACCATTATTGAAAATCTAGTGGACGTGTAATATATAAAGGCACGGAAGCAATAATAAACAAATACGTTTTGAGTTATCTTCATTATATTTCTTTGGCTCTGGAAACTTTTGTTCGTACTTTAAATACACTATATTTGATGTCGTCCTTGTAAAGTTGTCGAAGTTTTGTTCTTCCTTTTGTTGAATGTTATACTTCCCGTCGTTTAAAAATTTCGTAAATGTTGCATCGTCTTTTAACCTGACTACATGTCATATTCAGCTAATATATGCTTGGATATAAAGTTCGGATACGCCGATGACTGGGCCTTCACTACACGATGCAGAACACTAGAAATATCTGAAGAAGTTCTGACGGCAGACTTATATATATTGAGCAAATATTTTCGCAAGTGGCGGCTTCAACCAAATGCATCCAAAACAGAAGTTAGTTGCTTTTACCTGAACAATAAACTTGCTGGAAAGGAACTCAACATACGCTATGAAAATACCACAGATTCCCACAACAAAACACCGAAGTACCTGTGCGTAACACCAGACAGAACGCTATCATTTAAAAAGCAGTTAACAAAAACTGCCCAAAAGTTGAGTACACTCTATACTCTACTGCCTTAGCCCTTGTTTTTTCGACCGCTTAATATTGTGCCCCAGTTTGGCTACACAGTCCACACGTAAAAAGGTCGACACTCAGTTGCACAGCACCTCCACATTTACGACGAGTTAACACATTTACACGTGAATACAAAAAGATCATGAACAATATAAACCTGCCGATCCACCAAGATACCGAGGATACACGAAATACCCGTCTACGTTCTAGAAAACCACCAATGAAAACGGCAAGAATGATATATGAGGAGTTCAACATCACGAATGCATGGTCCCAAGAATAAAATGCATGGCAAAATAACATGCCCTGCATTACCCACAAGCCACCAGATTTTGATCTTTGACGTAAAATATGGTCCACTCTAAACACGATCCGAACCAGACATGGCAGATGACCATACATGCTACATAAATGAGGAAAGAATCCTTGTCCTCAATGTGACTGGGAAGAACCAAACGATCGACCACATTATTGAAGAGTGTCCCTCAAGATCCTACAATGGTAGCCCTAAAGATGTCCTGTTCGCAGTTTTAGAGTCAATTGATTATGTTAATACACTTGATGTTTGTTTGTAACTATTTAAAGTTTGTCATATACCTACGTTACTAGTCTTTGTAATTTTGTTCTAAATGTGTTAAAATTGTCATACGATAAATAAATAAATATGATTGGAATTACACGATGTCTTTTTCTTAGGCTGCCTGTCCGATCCGAACGTTGGCGATCATTCTCGCTATGATGACTTTGTTGGTTGCTATACAAAATAGCTGTGTTGAGGTTTTTCCATACTATGCTCTCAGGTTAACAAGCCAGGATATTCTTCTTCATCCTGGAGCCCTTTTTTCTTTCTGCCTTGATTTCTCATTCTACGTCTCAAGTACTACAACTTACGATCTTTCACGATGTTGACCAAATCCACGGTTGTGTTCATCCTCCGCAGAACTTATTCATTGGTAACTTAGTCTGTTCATGGTATCTTCAGGATCCTTCTGTATAACCATAGCTCAAAAGCCTGAAGTTTTGATAGAGGTTCCGCCTTTAATGTCTATGTTTCTACTCCGTACAGAAGCACTGAGTACACGTTTAATTTTAGGAGCCTTATTTTTGTATTTAGGGTGTGGTCATGGCTCTTGAACACAGAATGTGTTCATAGTCAAGAATGCACTTTTTGCCTTTTCGATGCGACATTTAATTTCTTGGGTATTATCTCACGACGGCAACGCATTGATTATAGTTCCCTAATAGTTCTATTGTGAGACACGTTCAGTTCTTATTGGGTTCATATACAGATTTGCTTCACTTATGTTTTCTTTAATGAATTAGTGAGTTATATTTATTTGTTATTCTATTCTTTTTTCGAGCTATGAAAAGAAGACATTCTGTTAATAATGCAGACTGCTTTTGTTATCTTTGTGGCAGTTTTGGGGTTGCAAAACAAAGACATAATATAACCTTATTTGTTCGTAATGCGTATCATGCCTATTTTGGAGTGAAAATAGGAGAACAAGACAAATCTTGGGCACCATATATTGTATGTTTAAAAAAAATTATTGAGTTTTGGATTTCCTATGGTGTGGCGTGAGCCACAAAACCATTCTGATAATTGCTACTTTGCTCCTGCGATTTAAAGGAATTTAATGATAAGAATAAAAAAGGATTTTTACACCCGAACCTCAAATCTGCTTTCAGGCCTATTTCTCATGGCCCAATGTACCCATACCTATTCCACCAATGGAGTTACAGAATCTATTATCGCCTCATTCGGAACAGTCTGAATTTGAGTCCAGAGATTCCGACATTACTTTTGAAGCAGAAGAAGTACCACAACTATTTAATCAAATAGAATTAAACGATTTAATATAAGACTTAAATCTTCCCAAAGATGCCTTAGAACTTCTAGCCTCTAGACTTCGTGATAAAAATTTGCTGGCTCCAGGTACATCAAACAGTTTCTACAGAAATCGAGAAAACGACCTGAGTCCATATTTTACTCAAAAAGATTCTTTAGTATATGGTAACAATATCTCTGACTTACTAATTAAGCTAGGAGCTGCCTCTTATGAAAAGAAAGAATGGCGACTATTTATTGACTCTAGCAAAAATAGTCTAAAAGGTGTTTTACTGCACAATGGTAATAAACTGGCTTCTGTTTCGGTTACTCATTCTGTTCACCGTAAAGAAACATACTGTTACGATTTTAAATGTTATGGCACATAGAACTGTAAATATTTTATGACTAATTCTTTTTTTATTGATTCTCGTAATTTGTAGGTCAAAATATACCTGAGCTTCGCTACCAGTTGTTTACAGAAATCTCTAGACACTAATTTTAGTGAGTCATCCACGTCTCGAGGTTGAAAAACGAGTCGAGCGTCTTCACCAAAATACGAGATCATTCCAGTATTTTCGACAATGGTCAGGTCAGGTCTAGGCGGTCTTACGGTTCTTTATATAAGGATGAAATTTTATTGAAGGAGTCAGTCATAAGAAGATCGGTAAACGCGGTTTACTTGTAACGAAACGTGAAATAAATACATTTGTAAAGTTATTTAATAAATTAGTAATTAGCTATCGTGAGTTTTAATAAATTAGATTATAGACAATAAATTAGAATAAAGACAAATAAATTCGAACTATATAAATATACAACAGTGGTGTCAGAAGTGGGATATTCAAATAACAAAGCGGGATTTTAAATAAATCTAATTTGAATTTGAAATAAAAAGAAGTGAAATATGGCTACAATTAATGAGCTCACAGTTACGGATTTAAGAAGACATCTTGAAGACAGAGAATTAGCTTCTACCGGAAAAAAAGGCTGAGTTAGTCCAACGACTAAAGAACGCTTTAAAGAAGAAGGTTTGGATCCGGAAACTCATATATTTGAAGACAAGCAGGTTGCTGTTGTCATCTCGTCGATTTCGAAATTAGAGAACAAGGTTTCCTGTGATATCGCTTCTTTAGAAAGCAAAGTTTCTAACGAGATTTCTTCTCTGGAAAGCAAGTGTTTCTGCTAACATCTCTAAAGTCACCTCTGAGATGTCTGCCCTCGACGATAAAATGTCTTCATTAAAGAACCAAGTTGCTGCCGATATGTTGGCCTTCGAAGACAAGATAAAAGAGATGGAAAGGAAGATGGAGGAAACAGGGACAGCAGAGAGAGAAAACAATCCAATTGTAGCAGAGACAAAAGAAAGATGAGGCCCTTCAAGAATATGAGGTAGATATTGCCAGATTAGTGCGATATGCTTATCCAACAGCTCCCGAAGACATGATGGAAAAGTTGGCCGTTCAAACGTTTATTGATGGTCTTCGTGATCATGAAATGCAGAGAACACTACGATTAGCTCGTCACAAGACGCTGATGGATGTCTTATCTGCCGCCCTCGAATACGAGTCAGCTACGCAGGCCTCTGGCGGGTATAGCAAAGTTAGGACTGTAAAAGAGGAAGGAGATGAAGATAAACTTGACCAGCTCGTTAATATGATGAAAAGCATGACATACAAGAAAACGAAGACCATAAGATGCTGGAATTGTGGCGAAATAGGACACGTACGAAGTTCCTGTAAGCATCCTAGGTACGACGCAAATCAAGAAACTCACCATCAGGAAAACTAGAACGGGTCAGCCTTAGGGGGGCAGCTTCGACCCAGAACTTTTCCAAAGACCCTCTCATACTAATAGCTTCTTTGAAATGTCGTGAAGATAGTGTATATGTAGATGGAGAAATAAATGGTAAAAAGCATACGTTGTTGGTGGATACGGGAGCGACCAGAAGCATTATTCGCCCGACAGTTATAAACAGCCGTAAGAAACTGTTACCAACGAGGTTGCGACTGCGGACCGCTACAGGTGAAAATGCTAACAT